TCAATAAATTCTACTTTAAATAAAGAAGTCTGGATTTCGAAATACGATCGCAAATATCTCGAGATGGGATGATTCAAAATCAATGAATGTTAGCTTATTGGATTCGTCTAGTCGCGAGGAATCGAATGGTAGTTTTATCATACGAATCGGAGCGATATTGACCGAAATCGTACATCTTTTGTATTTTTTTTTTTCTATATATAAAAAATCATGTGATATGACGTAATTTCGACCATTTCGACTTTTCATTTCGATTTTGACCTCCAAAGTCGAAACATTTCGACTTTTTGGGTTTTCATTTCGACTTCATGTATAGTCAGAACAATTTTTATTAGTATTTTAATAACCTAAAATTTCAGATTAATCTGAAATTTTCAGTTTAGTTCAGATTATTCAAAAGTTTCAAATCAGTTCAGTTTGGATTGACATTTTTTATATTTACAATCTGAACTAAACTAAACTGAAAATCTCAGATCAGATTAGATTAGCCTCTAATCTAAATTGAATCAGAATTTTTAGAGCTTTAAATATAAGAAAGCGAATAGATTATATGTTGTATTTAGATTATAGGTCATAGATCATATGTGATACTCAAATTATATGTTTTTAGATTATATGTGATATTTAGATTATATGGGATGAATATTAGGAAAATTAACCAAATTTAAATATAGATTAGATCTTCTGATTCAGATCATTTGTTATTTCAAAAAAAAATTTTTTGTTGATTTAGTCCCTTTTCTTAGCATTCACCCCATATATAATACTTAGATCACATGTATTATTCAGATCACTTGTAATACTATAATCTAGGATAAGTGGAATACTACATGTAATATAATTAATTATATTACATGTAGTATTCCACTAACTTTATTAAGTAAAAATTTGAAATATATTAATAAATTGGTATTAATAATCACACTTCAAATTTTTTTTGAAAATTTTTTATTATCAATTTAAAATAAACTTTTATTATAAAAATAAAATTTAAATTAAAGATATTAAACAATTTCTAAAAAAGATTTCATTTTATTAATAGTATATTTTAATTTTTTAATAATAATATATTTATATAATTTATTTAAAAATTCTAAATCATAAATTTTTTGAAATTTAAGATCAGATTCTAATAAATGATTCTTATTTAAGCAATCCATAAAAATTACTCATCTCAAAACTCATTTTCTATTTAATCTTTAATAAATATGTATTTTTTTAAAAAATATTTATTTAATAAAATCATATATAAAATATTAAAAATATATAAAAATATTATTTTATTTATTTTATTTATTAATATTTATGATTTTAAAATTTAAATCTCTAATAACTTAAATCATTAAATTTTAAGAATCGATTCTTGATATATTGTTTAAAATTTAACCTGGGCATGGACTATAAATTGGCCAGAATTAACATACTTTTAATTTCGGCCGGGGCTATGAAAATAATAGAGAATGCAATTGTTGATACATTTAATTTTATGTAATAAAATGCCCAAAAATAAAATGCCCCAATGACGAAAGGATTTATTTCATGACATTCATGTGCCTTATATCATTAATATAAATTTATGATATATTCAGGTATTGAATGAATTTCACATGCCGTTATTAAGTATTCAATCGAAAAATACGCTAACTCTATATTATTAATCTGATCTGACCATGAAATCCAATGATATATTTTTCCGCTATATCATTGTAATTATTAAGTTTATTCTTTGAAAGAAAGTTTACCTTTCGAAATCATCAAATCGAAGTTCATTGTGTTCTGCAATCACTCATCGGTACGTTGTATTGATCAAAGGTTACGTCATTCAAAAGTGTTTGCAGTCCAGGAATAACGGGAAGGACTTGCAAATTAACGTTATTTTCTTGTATTTCTTCAGTTTTAACACAGTTCATTTGCTGGTTTTTATCAACACTCGTTAAATCAAATCGGTCATCATCTTCATGTTTAGGAATAGGATGAAAAGTTTGACCGTTTTCTGTTGGCTGAAGTACTATTGTTCCTTTTCTACAAATTTAATGTCGAAGATTAGCCTTGGGAATTTTTTTTTTTTTGCTTAAACGAGAAATTTACTTGATATCCTCTACTTCAAATTCTTTATTAATCTGATTTTCTTCTACATTTTGTTGAGTGTATTCATGTTGTGTCGCTAATTGTGGTACTTGGAGTTCTAAATTTAAGATGGTATATGATTTAATTTTTTTAAAATTTCTAAAAAAAATATCTAAAAATACGCGTGATCCCGTGTTCAGAATTATCGATCAATAATTAATTGGTTATACCTGAAAAATTACGATTCTGTAATTGTTTTATCAGCGTTAATGCGTCTGCCTTCCTTAATTGTTCCGCGAGGTTTTCATAATAGTCAGCAACTATGTTCAAACGCGCACGTTGCTATTATTATTTAAATAAAAAATTTTTTTCGATTATATAAAATTAACACCAATAATATTCATATCATTTTTAAAAATGATCACAGTAGTTTGTGGCATTACAGACATATTCATAAAACTTGTGGATATCTTCATTGCTGCTTGAAGTAGACATCATGAACTTTTGAAAAGGTAAATTTTGATAGAGTATGATCGCGTAATCGCGTTTCTTCAACTGATGCAGCCATCATGGAAATTCCATGGGTTTTATGAGTCAAGATTATCAATCAACTCCTAAACAAATGAATATATATTTTTTTTTTAATAAGATTTTTTTCGGAATATATTTATATATATATATACATATCAAAATTCCAAGATTAAAAATCTTAATTTTTAGATAATCTAGGTTAGATTTATAAATTGCCAATAAATTTCTTATTTAGGAATAAATTAAAAAAAATTAAAAAGTCCTTTCATAAATATGAGGGTAAAAGAAAATCAAAAAAAATGAACAATAATCATTATAAAAACAATTATTGTCAACTTTTTGATCGACCGAATTTTTTACATTATCTATTAAAAAAAGCAATGATATGGGTAACCTTGTCTAGATGAGGTAAAACATTCGAAAAATGATTTGATTTGCTTGTTAAGAACATGTAAAAATCATTTTAATGTTTATCCAGTTTTAAAAAGTACAAAGGACGTTATGCAACTGATCTTGAAGAAAAATTATGATTATCAAGTTCATTTTTTAGACATCTTGTATTTTATGTTTTGTAGATCATTTTCTTATCAGGATTTTTTTTGTTCAGTGACAGTAAAAATCTGGTGACATTCAAGTTTTCTTTAAAATTTATATGCGATACCTTAAAAGATTTTTAGTTGAAAGAATGTTACCACGAAAAAAAAAATCATAAATTTTAAATCGATCTTGGCAATTATTTAAGTTTTACGAAATCATCCTGTGTAATCATTTCTCTATATCGCATTCGACCCAATTTTTTTTTAAAAATCACAAAAAGCCGGTACCAAATTTTTTTAATGAAATTTTCATAAATAAAAAATTATATTCAAAAAAAAATTTTTTTCCATTGGCACGTTTTACACAACGAAGATGCAATGACGCCATGACTTTCTTTATTTTTAAAAATTATTTTTATGGAGTAGTGTTTGTTTTCCAATTTTGGAAAAATAGTGACATCTCCGTGGGTAGTTTTCGATGAGGATTTTGTCAGTAAAGAAAGCCAAAGTTCTTTGTCTCTTGAATGATTTTTATAAGGTGATTGTTATTGATTGGCTGAATATTAATGCCAAATCACAAGGTCATGGTAATTTGGGGGTTGGAAAATTCAGGGCTTTTTAACTGAGATTTTATTATAAAATGTGACATCATATTTGCCACAATCTGGGATTTCAAAAAAATTGTTTGTTTCTAGGTGACTTTTGCGAACAGCCCTCAATTACTTTCACAACAATGCCCCAAGAGCAGAAGCAAAAGAAGAAACGGGTCCCTATCACCGCCCTCACAAAACAGCAAATATGCTTAAAAAAGAGAGAGAATTTGAAGCTCAGAGACGAGGACCTCGCCAAGGAATATGGCCTTGATAGAAGTACAATCACTAAAATCCTAAAACAACGGGAAAAGTGGTTAGCTATTGATCCTAATTCCAATTATGCCAAACAAAAAACTCAAAAATCACCAAAATTTCCTCAAATAGAGGATGCTTTATCGTCATGGTTAACTTTAAACATGAGTGGTGGCAGTCCCGTCAGCGATGCACAACTTCAGGAGAAGGCTCTGGAGTTCGCGCAGATGTTCGGAATTCGTAACGAATTCCAAGCTTCTAATGGGTGGATATCAAAATTCAAAAACCGTCACCAGTTCCGTAGTGGCGAAAATCAAGGAACGTCCGAAGTTTCCCTACATGTTACTTCACAGCCAACAGCTATTTCTGGGACTTCAGTTATATCACCTCCGGAACACTCGAATTTTAACAATACTTTGAGTTTAGTAAGTTGTTTCATCATGTTTTGAGAAATGTGTGTTTTTTTCCGTAATGTATATATATTATCTTTGACGTCATTATGTGACGACTAGTTTAGATAGTCACAATTTGAGTTTCAACTTTTTTAACTAACCTCACATATTTTCTATATATGATTTATATATATTTAAAGCCTCCTAATACCCACTTCACACCTAACCCGTCAATAGCAGCAACGACTCGTACGAATGGGACAAGTACGCTGACAATTACAAATGCTTCTAGCTCTCAAAATTATATCCCATATGGGGCTGCGTCAACCCATATAACAACTACACCTTACACTCCTTCTTCACGGATATATTCAACAGTATCCACCATAGCCCCTTCCATGATTCTTGAAAACGTAGCGTACGTGACACTGTTATGAATTCTGTTTTTATGATTTTCTTTATTAATTTACAGCTTATTTCATTTTATTATAGCTTTTTGTTTTGTGGTTATCAAAACGATATCATTGGAATGTGAGTGTTCAGGTTCATTATAGATTAATAAATTTAATTATTAGATACGCGTAATAAAATAATCTGATATCATTACGGAATTCAATTTGTTCAATTGCATAACGCGTTTTTTTTTAATTATACGTATAATAATACGTGTAGGTTTCAGACAAGCAATGTTCTGAATAACTTTTTGGTGCGTTCAAAAACACTATTTAAAAACGTTCACCAAGCTACTGTTCACCAGGCTACCGTTCATCAGGCTAAGCAAAAAAAGAACATCAGTAGCTTCTCTGTTGGCCTTTCTGTGAGTTATTTGCTACAAACGCGATCTATTTGAATTCACAAATACTTGAATGATCCAATCAACTATTATTAATTTTTTGCGCATTATTTTTCGTATAGTTTCGACCTGGTTATCCCGAGGTTTCTTCAAATAATCGTTATTTTGAGAAGCTGAAAAGCTTGGGAAGGCTTATTGAAGGAACTAAAGGAGCAGAATTTATCGATGGAATGATACCAAGAGAGGTTAGAAAATTAATATATTTAAATCATTGAATTCAATTCTGACATCACTAAACCTTTTTTTATTATTATTAATCAATCAGGATGATATTGTAATCAAAGTATGTTCCAATATTTTTACAACTTTATACATAATAATTCTCTCGATTAATTAATTACATTATATTATTTTTTTATTTTTTTAAAAAAAAAGAAACGTCGCGTCGACGCTTTCTATAATACTGATCTTCAAATGATACTCGAATCACGAAATATCCGTCATATCATTCTTTCTGGTATCGCTACTAGTGATGTTATTCTTTCTACATGCCGTTCTGCCGCTGACCGAGATCTGAATGTTACCGTTGTACGCGAATGTTGTTTTGATGATAACGAAGCGTTGCAAAACATGTTAATGAACGATCTGTTTCCAACTCAAGGCGTTACGGTAGCCTCTTTAGATGAGATTTTAACCGGTTTGCGTGGCGTGAATTGAGATGGAATTAAAGAAAGAAAAAAAGAAAAAAAAGCAAAAAAAAAAAAAAAGCAAAATCTTCTTTAAAAGTTCTTACTATATTTATCTCGTATAATATTATCAAATCTAACGATTTGATTAATTCGACTTACCATCAAACGATCTATTTTTTTTTTAATTTCATTTCATTTCAGCCATATGTTTTGGTCTATGGAATTATCGGAATTATCGAACTTTATCCACATATATGTTTTAATACCATTTTTTCTTCGTTGATTAATTTGATTTTTTTAAAAACAAAAAAAAAAAAAGTTATCTCAGATATGTCACGATTCGACAACCCCTTTCCCTTTTAAATTAATCGAATTAGGCATGTTCACCACTATTTTTTTTTTTTAAAAAAAAAAATGTAATTATACCCCATTTAGTTGATGTGGATATTTATTTTAAATTATGTTTTGTAATAATCTTTTTTAAATCATCGTTCTATCGGTCTCTCTAGTTTTACCTTCATTCAATCATCATTCGAAAATATATTAATTTCCCTCGTATCGTAAATTTTTGTACATAACCCTATATTATTATGATTTAGAATTCTTAAACCCTTTTTCTTCTTTTTTCTTTAAGTATCATATAAAACCCTATAAGATAAAAAACAAAAAAAATAATAAATTCGTAAAAAAAGAGCTTTCGGGCAAGAATGGTTTTTTTTATTTCAGGAGGATAAAAAATCATACTTTAATTTATTTTTAAAAAAAAAAAAATTTTTTTGTGTATTTTTTAATTATATATAAATTGGTGTATATTAGTATATTATTATGAATCATAAAAAATAGCGTTCTTTTTATCACATTATATTCACTTGCTAAATATCACATATCACTAATCACAATCACTATGATATTTATTTTATTTATTTTATTTATTATAAAACACTTAATTCGGGTTTAAATTTGAGAGTTACACTCAATTATTAGTTTCATTAGAATCATTTAACCATCTATAAATAGAACTAAAATCTTTCTTTTCATAGCCAGCAGTATTCGATAGTAGACTATACAATTGTTGAGCAATTGCTCCTAAAATGACGGAAACTTTCGCGTCGTTAGCAGCATTAACCGCTAATTTCATATCTTTCGCCATTAAACTATTATTAAAACCACCTTCATAATTTTTACTTGAAGGTACGTTTGGCAAAACACCAGGACAAGGGTTATAAGTATCGCTTGACCAACATCTACCAGAAGAAGTATTTAAAATATTTGCTAATAATTTTGGATCAATACCAAGTTTCACTCCAAGATTCATTGTTTCCGCTACACCAATCATTGTTATCGCTAATAACATATTATTACATATTTTTGCTATTTGTCCCGCACCCAATCCCCCACAATGAATGATATTTTTACCCATATGACTTAAATATGGTTTTGCCCTATTGAAATCTTCTAGTGTGGATGCTCCAACCATAAATGATAAATTAGCGGCTTCTGCACCAACAATTCCTAATATATTTATGTATATATATGTAAAAAAGGCGTATGTGATGAAATTATTTAAGTATTCTAAATAAATTTTGCTCTCTCTTCTCACCTCCAGAAACGGGGGCATCAACAGCTCTAGCGCCTTTTTCAATAATCTTTTTTGATACTTCTTTGGAAACATTTTGATCAATTGTACTAGAGTCAATTAAGAAACTATTTTCATCAATACCATGAATTAAACTATCTTTTGTTTCTAAATAAACTTTTTTCACATGAGGTGAAGATGGTAGCATTGTAATGATTGTTGAGGATCTTCGCGCTACTTCGATTGGCGTTTGAGCATGTATAATTAGTCTGTCTGATAGAGTTGTTTCATGAAGGAATGTAAATTTTTCTAATGCTATTTTATTGATATCATAAATAATTAATGGTGAATTGGATTTTTTATATATATTATTGGCCATTTTGAAACCCTTTTTGTAAAATAAATTAGAAAATCGATTTAAGATATTTATTTGATTTTTTGAAACTAGGTGAATTCATACCATACATACCATTTGACCAAGTCCGATAAATCCAATTGTTTCATTTCGAGGCGTCTATTATAAAAAAAATGAAATGAAATAAATAAATAGTCAAGTGTTAAAAAGTCAATTATAATCTTTATAATAATTCCTTTTTACCTTGACTGAAATGAATAAGAAAATAAAAGCATTCAAAAAATTTTATTAATGGTCATGTAATTAATTTATACATTAAACAAAAAAATTACAGACCTAAGGTAGAATAATGAAGCTTAACGTTGTTTCGAATGATTCCTGACAGGAAAGTTTTGAAATAACCCTTAAACATTGTTCGAAACCTGAGAAAAAATTTATGAGCAATAAAAAAAAAAAAATTTACAAATTGTACGTGAGAACATTTTACTTTTTTACTTTATAAATTTTTGTTGTATATCCTGCACTGCATGATTTTTAAATTGACAATCGTAATTTAGGCCACCATTAATTTTTGCATATGCAGGGAAAATCGTGCCGATCATATGATTTACAGGAAAACATGCGTGATGATCTTCTTATGTGATATAATCATATGTGATAACAAAAATAATTTAACCTTATATGTAAAAATGAAAAAATTCTAGTTTTAATATATATAATATATACTGTATATACTATAAATATTATTATATATAAATAATATTATTTTTTTATAATAATTACTAATAATAAAATATTAATGGTATATTAACTATATTAATATTAATTAAATAAAACAAATCATATTTTTAAATACTTTAAAATGTTAAACCAATTATTTTTAAATTTAAAAAATAATATTAAAAAATTAATTTAAATCTTTGAAAATTACATTATTATTTTTTTTTTAGACATAGTTAAGCATTTATTTATTAATAATTATTTTCAAAATATAAATAAAAGAAAGTTCTAAAATGGATATATAAAGTAGAAAATAAAGTAAATATTGTCTAATCTTCGTCAAATGTAAAACCTTTTCTATCTAAAACAACTGGTTGTCTCATCGCATTCAATCCTAAAAGGAAATCAGTATATAATAAGAAATAAGAAAACAAATATGAGACAAATAATTTTCATTACGTTAAAAAGAGGTACAGATCTGCTATAAACAAAAGATTTAAAAGATAGCTCAAAATGATTTAAATGAAAATTATTAGAAAATTGTGATAACATATTATTATGAGAAGTAGAAGAAACATTATAATAGGAATATTTTTGATATTTTTTAGCTATGGTAATATTCAATGATAATTCTTTTTCAATAGTAAGAGCACATTAGGTTTTTTATATAAGTTTAAAGGATTATTCAAATATGAAAGAATCTTTTCAGTAATTGAGAAGTTGCCAAAATCATTAATATTACGATAAAGTTTGAAAGGAATAATACCTTTAATAATAGGTAGAAATATTATTAAAAAACTATGTAGACCAATAATTATATGTTAGATCAAAAAGTAGTTGCAATTTATCCGATTAGTTAATCCTTGATATGTGAATAAATATCTGATTTTTTAAGGTCTGAATAGTTTGAACAATAATATTGTTAAGTATTAGAAGAGCAATAGAGTAAGTTCAAATGTATTCAAAAGTTTCAAAATATATTTTACAATAATAAAATTTATATTCAGAATCATAAAGGTCAGGTCTAGTTAGTTTGAGATATTCTAAAGTAGAAATTTGTTCAAGTAAAAGATAATATTTAGATTTGTGAACATTAGAATCTTTGTTAGAAGTTAATGATAAAGGACTTGATTTGATAATTTTAAAGGTTAATAGCTAGTTAATAGAAAGAAAAAGATATTTACTGTTACATTGTAAATTATAGAAGTCAATAAAATAATGGATATTAGTGAAATCCTTGAAAAATGATCTGATAGTGATATTAATAGAAAGATTGTTAAATATAGAAATATGTGATAGATATAGAACTGAAGTAAAATTGAGTTTTATAGGTGATAAGTGTAGTGATGATTTTGCTAATTGATTAACCTTATTATTATATGAGTCATCTGAATGTGCTTTTACTTTAGATAGGAAAACAGTTAAATTGTGTTGCTCAATAAGCTTGAATATAAAATACTAATAAATATAAAAAGGAGTTTTGAAAAGAAGAAATGAATAATTGTAAAGATAAGTATTATAAATATGATTAAAAGTTTGGATTATGATGAAACTATCAGTAAATATCTTAATTGTAGATGAGTGAGGACAAATAAACAAAGTGGTGAGAAGAGCAAAAATTCAGCATTGGTGAAGTTGGTTTAGATAGAAGGTAAGGCAGTATTAAAAGATAAATCTATAGATGGATGTACAAGAGTAAACGCAAAACTGATAAATAAAGTAGAAGGAGGAAAACATCTATAGAAACTATTAGTATAAAATTTTAAGTGAGTTTCAAAAGTAATGTTTGTTCTAAGATTATTGAGAAAAATGGAAATAATCAGGATCTAAATAAAATTTATTTAAATTTAAAATAGAAAAACTGAAAGAAAAGTTATCAAAGTTAGGAATATTTAAATTTGAAGTAGAATTAATAGAATAAAATCTAGAAATAGCTTGTTCAATAAGAAGCTATACAGATTGTTTAAGAATATAAAGATCATGAGAGTTGTTATAGACTAAAAGAGATACATCAATAATTTGAGTGACTATCAGATTCACAAATGCTACATAAAACAATTTCTTGAATTTCATTTTAAGTTTGAATGAAGATCTTCTTATATTAAAAAAGCAACTATTACATAAAGCTAAATTGAGCCTTTTGAAGGTGATCAAGGATTAAAAGTTCTATTTTCAAGAATATAATATTGTATAAGATATGGTAGAGCTAGAAGAATAATTTTAAAAGCTTTACCAAAAATATAAGTTTCTGGAATAAAAAGGTTGTATATGTTATTGTCAGGATGAGTTCACATAATTATCCAATTAGTTTTTGCAAAGGATTCAATAAGAGGATCAATATCATAATTTGTTAAAGCAGTTAAAGTAATTTGATAAT